TACAAACAACACTAGTCAGACTGACAAGGCGATATTTACCGGGGCTGCTTTTGTCACCTTTTTTGAACAATGGTGTTACTTGAGCTTCTTTCCAGTCGGACGGCAAAGTTCCTTCGTTCAAGGTTTTTTGAAAGAACACTGTCAATGGGCCGGCCAGAACGGTTACTAACTCTTTGAGCAATCTGGGATAGAAGCCGTCTGGTCCACATGACTTGTTGGGATTTAGAACTACCAGGTGCTTGAGAACCTCTTCTTCGTGTATTTCAAAACCTGTTAACTTCGAGCCAACTGGGCGCTCCTCCATATCTGGAATACTGTTCAAGTCTTCATCTGTGAACACACTGCTGAAGAACTGATTGAGAACGTATGCCTTGCCCTCATCAGAGAAAATCTTTCGTTGGTCTACTTTCAAATCAGATATACCGTCCTTTTACTTACACTTCGAACCAGCGTACAAAAAGAAGGCTTTCGGATTTTTTTTTACATTTTAGCAATATTTTTTTTTCGAAGTTTTTCACTGTAGTGCGACAAACTTTTTCAGCTTGATTTCGAGCTCTTGCATACAAGTTATAATCAGAAGCTGCGAGTTCGTAAATAACGCTTGTATGCTTCTTTTTTGGTCTTTAGCTGAACCTTAACTGCACTGTTCATCCACTGGGACTTTTTGACTCCTCCAAGCGTAATCTTAGGTACACAGGCATCAAATGCAGGCATGACCGTGTCTTCGAGAAACGACCTTGAATCAGTCACATTCGCGTCCATAATACAGTCCGAAATATTCGCCGCATTCACCGCTTCACGGAGTTTATCGTAGTCGCCTTTCGCAAAGTTGAAGCGGTCACGCTTCCGAAGCGTCTTTTCTACACAACCCTTCATACTGAAAAACAATGATTGGTGGTGGCTTTTGTTCAACAAAGCCTCGTGGCGAAGCTCATCTATCATTGATTCTGCACTAGTAAACACAGGATCTAGAATATTTGGGGCCTGTTTACCCCTAAAATGGGTTGGCTTGGTGATGTTCTGGATTAAAAATGATTCTCGCACAGACTTCAGGAACAAGGATGCTGGGTGATTCCCATCTCTTGGAGAAGATTCATCTGCCCAGTCTATTTCTGGATGGTTAAAGTCACCTACGATCAACGTATACGACCTACTGAAAGACATGCTCGGTAAAAGGCTGTTTAGTACTTTGTTATCTGAGGAGCTGTTAGGTGATCTATAAATGACCCCTATGAGGAGGATATCTGACTTTTAGAGTAAGTTCCTACCACACTGATTCTCTAGCTGATTGATGCTCTGCAGACAACTTAACTTGCTGGGCCCCACAAAAGGTTCTAACCCACCTCTACTGCACTGCTCTTCATTTAAGTTATGAAAACAATTAAAACCTGGCAGCTGAAATTCAATAGGTCCAATTTTCCCCCTGTGATTTTTAGGGAGTGTTTCTGTAATACAAATAATGTCTATGCACTCGTTTGCGATCACAGTTAGCAGTTCAGGTTTTTTTGTTCAAAACGGAATCTGAGTTCGTGTAAAAACATTTTTAAACTTTTTGTGCACTTTCACTTTGATGTATGCGGTTACTTTCTACATTATTTACAGGCCTTGATCCATCATTCCTACTACATCATTCCTACTAATAACTTGTCTTCCATCTCCTCTGACTGTCCGTGAGCAGCCGGGGTGAGCCGGTGTTCTCTAAAAACCGCCCTCTCTAAAGGGGTGGAATCTGTCTTTACAAACCGAGTTGTAATCAACTGATTCTCCACGCTTTCTCGCTGTTTTCAGCACGCTCCTGACCAGAGCAGAATCTTTTACAGTCACCAACAGAGGTCTGCAGGTGTTGACAGCAGCATCTTTCGAGCGTAGCCTCTTGCACGATGTAACATCAATCGGTGTTGAGTACCTTGCTGCAACATTCTACAACAAATGCCGTGTCATCCATCACTCGGTCCTTCGCATCAGATGCGGTACTTTCGGAAATCCCAAACCAAACCAGGTTGACCTTCGTACGTTCTCCATCAAGTAAATCACGTGAGCTTTCGCTAGCGACTTCAGATAAATCAGCTGTCTTGTTCTTTACTTCCATTTCTTCCGTATTTTTCAGCTGAGCCTTCACTTCAGACAGCTCATTGCATAGCGAGCTCAGTTTGTCACTCAGCGAGCGCACCATCTCACTCAAGGAGTTTACTACATCATTCAACAATTTCGACTCATTGCCGTGCTCTTCCACCGACTCCTCTCTTTTTCGAACACAAAGAGTTGTTTTTTTGCAATCACGGCAAAACCAATGAAGCAATTTAGATTTCTGGAGAAATGAGTAATCCTTAGAGCTCAATTTCGAATAGCTGATACAAATGAGATCTTCGCATCGTTCACAGGTGACCGTCTGGACTCTGGACTTCGCTCAGAGAGATCACTTTGCAGTACTTGCAAACTTTCATCTCTAGTTGGGCTGATTTGGTTTCATTTTTTTTCTAGAGGCCGTAGAGGGCTTTTCTCTAGAGGCCGTAGAGAGCTTTTCGACTATCTCTTTTATTTTCTGTCCAGCCATTATAAATGCACGAACTAGATCTCTTGAACGGAGAAAAGGGAGGAGAAAATACAAAACTGAGTTGAGTTACATATAGTAAGTTCCCTCGAAAATTTCGGCTGGCTGAACAGCTGAGCTGCAGCTGGCGAGGAAAATACAGGGGTGTACTGGGGGAATCAAGGGATCGACGCGTAAGGCGGGTTGAGAGGGGGGAGGAATAGGGGCCAAGAGGGTGGGGAGGGTATAGGAAGACAAGGCCTTAGCGTGCTGAAGGCACCGTTGCTCTCCGGTTGATAAGTGGTTGCCGAGGGTTCCCAACAAGCTAAAAGCTTGCCCTCGCTCATGCACTGGCATTTGTCGGGAATACAACACTTGTACTAGCCTCTTTTTCTCAATATTCGCACCATTTTTACTTAACTGCATTTAAATTGAACCTTCCACTGAAATCGTTTCGGTACAATTTAGAGAGATAAGTCAAACCAGCATAGTAAAAAGTGAGAAAATTTTGACCCGCAAACACGTACGTGCGTCTTCGATCACGGCCAGAACTCAACTGGTGTGAACTGTCAAGATCGTCTTGCAATTGCGCTTTATTTGATGCATCCATCACAGTATTATAAACTTTTGTGTCGTTGGCATACGTGGAGCACACTTTAACATTACTTCTGGCAGATCGTTCATAAAAACAACGAACAAAACAGGCCCATGAACGCTTCCTTGTGACACGCCACTGCGCACTGATGCCCAGTCTGACACAGTTCCGTTAATACTGGCACGTTGTCGTCTACCTAATAGAAAATCTCTGATCCATTGCAATACGTTTCCCTCTATTCCAAAAGACTTCACTTTAAGCAACAGCCGCTCACACATAGGCGATCGCCGTTTATTACAGGCTAGATGTGGAGGAACTGTTAAGAAATGAGGTAACGTAAGAAAAGTAATTTCTGAAATCTGTTTCGTTAACTTTTATTAACACTAGTTCCCACCCTTATGCGGTTATAAACCCATTTAATGTAATTAAAACCTAAATAGAAAACAAAACCTATATAACCTATCTACTACACAAGGCACATAAGACAGAACCCTCCCACAATCACAAGGAACCAATCCGACAAGGATTCAGACCATGTTGAGCATGTAGACACAACTAGCCTAAATCCACGAATGAGTAGTCGTGACCGCTGTGACGCCTCCTTGGAGTCTCCAAACTCTCTGGTTGTAAGCGCGACGGCTATACCTGCCGCTCTTACGTCAGCGCCAGTCAGACAACCAAACTTTAACCGTGCAGGGAAGTGAACTTGGAGGACTTCTGACACTTTATTGGCAACGAAGGCACTAGTGGATACGGTAAAACGTGGTAAAGGGAACAGTGAAAGCTCAAACTGAACCCAAATAAACTCGGAATTAACTCAAAAAAACCCAGCGGATGGCTGGTACTGATTACTGAACCTATTGTTCGTGGTTAACCAATAAGATTCTGCAAACAAAGAATAACAAATTTAAGATGTAGCAATAACGGTTAATCCTAGTTATTCCTAACAAAATTACTATTAATAAATATCAAAACTCGAATTTATATATCACAATATAACTATTCACAATCATCACGCACATAAATGCCTAGCAAATTACGGACCAGGCAATAAGTCCAGCAGCTATCTCAATCAATCGTCAGCTATGGAAAAATCGGGTTCCAACAGCCGGATCCCTTGTGAATCAAGTCACGAAAAGTTCAAGAATCGGCAACAGGCCATGGGCCTATTTCTTCAACGCCGACACTTCTATTCTATTCTATTCATTTGTGATGCAGTGGTCAACTAGTCAAATGGCAGAATTTTATCAGGAGGGTATTCAAAAACTGGTGCCACGTTATGAAAAGTGCCTCAAAATTCGCGGAAATTATGCATAAAAGTAGATTTAAGTACAGGCTTCCATGTAAAAATAAAATTATTGCGATATCATTTCTTAAATCATTTCTTTCTTAAATTCCAAAACGGTACTGACTTGAAAAATATAACTCAGTACTCACTGCAGTGAGTGACAGAGAGCGCATTTTCTCGTCGACGAAAACTTGAGGTCACGGACGGACGGACGGACAGAGAGACGGAGATGGCGAGCACAATAGTGCATTTTTTCCGTAGATGAGAAAATGCGCTGAAAACAGGCCTCGTACCTATCACTCAATCGTGCAGCCGTGCAAGACAACGCCAATTATTTTCTAGAGAATATTCCTCTCAGTGGTAACGCCGGCAAAACTTAACAAGATGGCCTACCAGAAATAATCAGTATAAATGACAACATATTTCAATTTACGCCTGATATATAATGCCAAGTTTTTAGATTTACTGCTACGCCAGTGACCCCCTTTTTATTTCAAATGTCCTTTTTTTCAAGTTATTATTGCGCGCATGACAAGAATCACATAAGCCCACAAAACCAGATTCAGCTTCAGACAGGCAATGCACATTCCATGTAAAAACTTTTATACTGGTAATTACAAGGCAATATTCACCATATTCCGACAAGCGTCCACGGTTTCTTTGATGTAGGCGTAGAAGTCCGACCAGCTCGGCTGAATATTTTCGTAATCCACGGCGTAATTGCCGCTACCGCCTGAAACGTTCATAGTTCATCTGACATTCTTCATTCTCAATTTCTTAATATAAAATAATTGAAATTGCCTTATTTTGGGATGGCCTGCTCAATTGACTAACCTGGAATAGGTTGAAGGCTGTTTGCAGTTAATACCGTGACGTTCCTGACAGAAACAACAGAGCGTTAGAATTTTGTGCAATAAGGAGCAATTACTTCTTAAAAATTTTTTTTTCGTTATTCATAAACTTATTTATGGACGGATTTTCAGATGTTTTGAATTGTTCCTAAATAATGTACTTCGTACAAATTCATTTATAGCTTCTAACACTGTTCCATTAGCACATATTTGGTGATGATAGCTACTAGTATTTATCCATTTCTAGTCCACCTATCGATCAAACAAGAGCGTTATCAAATTTACTTTCATGGTTATCCAATATGAATTGAACGAACCTGAGGTCCAAATCAATTCATACCATCAAAGAAAAAGTCCTTGCAAATGGTGAACATTTAAACGCTAACAAACCGGCGCATTTACGAGTTCAAACAAGTTTAAAAGGAGCGGTTTTTATTTCAAATTATGTTGATATTCTTCTATGTACTCTTTTAAAATATTTTCAGCGACTTATGAGGCTCGAGCAATGGTTTGCGTCCCTTATACAAGGTCATGCATGTCTAACCAATTCAAGAAGTGCAAGAACTGCCCTTGAGCCCCGAACTGACGCTGTTTCTAAGTCACTGGTGGACAAGTTTTTTAGCTTCTGTTCAGGCCGAATCTTTAATTCTGCAGACCATATTTAGGTTAATTAGTCATGTTATTTTCATATCATTTAAAATTCTTGGTAGTAAAAAGTATTTTCAATGTTTATATTGTTTGAGTCCCTAGAGTAGCAAATTTCTACTGAATTCCTTAGCAAAGCACGTATTGTGAAATATTGAAATTCAGAACTAATTAATCGTCTGAACCTGTGACCGGTTAACAAGAGAAGGAAAGATGGCGGTTCTTAAATGCATTTATGAGTCGAGGTATATATGTGCGCAAAATCATTCCAACCAATTTATAGGCACATTTTGTCATCTTTTCGCATACATAATTTCTTTAACTTTGCCATTTTAAATATTTAAAAATGTAATTATTAGGTAAATGGTCAACACCAGTCATTTAAAATGAATTGTTTGGAATGATTTCACCTATGAGATAATTGCGGGATATGAATAATGAATAATCCAGGTGACTTGCCTGCTCATTCTACAGATAGGCGAGAGATGAGTTACCCTGAGGTGAGTTACCCTGAGGTGAGTTACCATGAGGTGAGTTACCCTGAGGTGTGTTACCTTGAGGTGAGTTACCCTGAAGTGAGTTACCCTGAGGTGAGTTACCCTGAAGTGAGTTACCCTGAGGTGAGTTACCCTGAGGTGAGTTACCATGAGGTCAGTTATCATAAGGCGCGTTAAATTCACATAAATTTCACAAATACCCCAAGTTTGCCGGCTTATCATCCTGGTATATTGGCACGAGTTGCATCAAGTAAATTAGCTAAATTGCCCACAATGAAAATTGTTAACGTCAGCATTACTCACGGATCTTTGATGCAGTATTTATAGATCAAAATCGTGGATAAAACTAACGATGCCACCGTGAGCACCGCCATTAGTTTGAAGTCGTTGTCGAACTGAAGACGAGTTTTGAGACGCACAAACAGGCGCTGGTGACTACTGCTGCTCTTTGATTCTTTCATGATGATAATTTTCCAGATGCGTACGAAGAAAACTGATGTAAGAGTTTAGTTTCTACGTACAACCTGCCACTTAATGAATCAGAAAAGGAAGAGAAGGTAAAAATAAGAAGTTGTTGAAATGTAGTAATCTATAAATGCCGAATTCTCATCGAGGAATGTTACTCGGTAAAAAAATAATTTTTGCCTGTTTTTCCAATGCATGTGAAAATATAGGAACTTCCTATTTATATGCAATGGAAGTTTTCTTTGTCCACGTTACCGTACAGATTAATCGATCATATCACAAAACCCAATATTTATTGTTCCCATTCGCTGCTAACTGGTAATATACCTTGAACAAACAATTATTGAGCAGTGCATTTTAAAGCCAATAATTTTTCTGGCAAGAAATATCTCAGACCAATAATAGCGCTGCCACAACTTGAATGGGTTCCTCCTTTCATCAGAGCTCGAAGATCAATCAACAGATCGAAGGAAGATATGCACGCCTCTCGGCAAGAGACGTTCGCGCGTCATTCTGTGATGGTGAAATATTGGTCATAATGATATAACGCTGCACAGAAATATCCTATCAATATCTCAAAATTACCAATTATTCTCGAAATTGCCATAGTTTTACTGTAGATATCAAAATTATCGAGATATTAAAAATTAACGGAAATTGTTTTGATATTTGAACTGATGGCTTTTCCTGATGGCTTTAAATTCAATATCAATTAACAAAAATTTTTTGCTGTCTCAAAAATTTGCATAATTTAGTACCAGTATCTTAGTTTTATTCGTCCATATCATATGTAAAAAAGATAAAAATATTGTTTCAATGAATGATACGGCAAACGATCACAAACTTCTCTGATCTGAAACGTTCAGGTATGTTAGCCCCATTTTTAAGAGAAAAGATTTTGTAAATATATAGAAGGTGCTGTACACTGATAAATAAATGCATAAAGTCTCACGCCGTTCACAAGCGCAACAAATCTATTTCCCAAGTCTTGAAGTGTTCATAGAAATTCATTATGAATTAGGATTTTTGGAATTGGCGCGAATTTGATTGCTCTAAAAATCTAGAGTAAAATTTTTATGTGATGGAAAAAATCTCCAAAAAAATCGATCAGCATTTCATCAACTAAAGAATGGTTCGTCGAAAATATAATCGTTCGTCGGCAGACTTCTATATTGCAAAAGAAATGCTCCTGGATAGAAAATTTATTCACTGGGTGTTCCCGGGATTTACTTATACATAGTCATTACACAAAATACAATTTATACATAGTCATCACACAAAACACAATTATTACATAGTCATTATATTACATTGAATACATGAAATACCCTACGAAAAGTTGGGCAATACCGCTTGTCATTCTGCTAGTGTGTATTTACGTCAAGAACAAGCATCTGGAGAGACTGTGAATGCTGCGTGTTGTGCTTGCACCGACGCCCATGGATGGTAGCAGTAAACTAAGCAAGACTGGATCACTGGAAGTTAAGCGTTGTTTAACCTTCGGCTGAGATCCAGGAAAATAAAAAGGGGGAAATCCCAATTTTTTTGTTTATTCTGGTAGTCAGTCAAGACAACAATGTGAGGAGCTGCGCAACAGTTTGATAATGTACAAACGAGATTATGTGTACAGACAAGGCAATGTCAATTGTGATGTGTACGCACGAGATAATGTAAAGAATGTATCCAAACGAAATTGTGTTAAATGTAAAAGAAAATTGTCCAAGCGAGACCTGCGAGAAGAATTTAAATCAGTTGAATGCACTTAAAACTAGATTGAATGCACTTAAAACTCGGAGCATCTGTGACGTTCCGAGTATGAACGCCTTCAGGAACATACTAGACGAAGCTATGCATGCAGGAGCATATGTTCAGTCTTAAAATGCCTAGCAAATTATGGACCAGGCAATAAGTCTAGTAGCCATCTCAATCAATCGTCAGTTATGGAAAGATCGGGTTCCAAAGGCCGGATCCCTTATGTATCAAGTCACGAAAAGTTCAAGAATCGGCAACAGGCCATGGGCCTATTTCTTCAGTGCCGACACTTCTATTCTAAAACTAAAATCGTAGGATATAAATTGGTTATCACTGGTTCACTGAATTAAATATTCAGATTGGTCCACACAATCATGATTCACTGTCACAATAAGATTCTATATCAAGATTAACTGGAGTATTTTGGATGAATCAGGTTAATTCACAAACATCGCTCAATTCAGTAAGAAGCCCTAACCGGAATTTAACACCAAGATTTACATATCAGGTTAATTCACGACCTACATTATTTCAATTTTGTCTAATTTACTCAGTACAATCAACCTGAATATCTAATTGCAAATAATTATTCTGAATATCTTATTATTCAGTTGCTGCAATGACCTGAATAATAATAAGGCTGACACTCCTATTATGAGCGTATACATTATTGTGAGTCTGCATAATGAGGTAGTGGCTCTGTGGTTGCACTACTCTAGCCCCTAAGCTGAGTCGGCATGAAAACATGACAAAATTCCTATCAATCAACTATTAACAACAGAATGAATACACTACTACATGATGTACATGAAACTATTATTAAATTTTAACACTCTGATCACTATTCACCCAGTGGATTAATTTTTAACACAGCACACAAGAAGCACGACTTATTCAGGACGCGGCAAAAAATAAAGACTTTTTGCGGGGTTCCAAACTCTAACGATGTTGCCAGAGGGCTCGGGTGAGATTCTTAGAGGATTCTCTGGGCCTAAACTATCGTAATTTATATATTCATAATTGTTAATATTAGAACATAAAATTATTATCAAATCTATCGAATATTATATTTATCAAAACTGGGCATGATTAACTGGCATACGATATCGATTATGTTTACTTTTAATTATTGTATTTGTCGTTGACAATCAGTCAATGTTCACAGGTAAATTGTACATAATTAGGACATTACGACGTATAAAAATACTGTTTTATTCTAATAATGCTCATGGAATTACTACAGATCTCACCATTCGAGATGGCAGCATCTCGGACTTCCATTAGACTGAGTTCAGTCTAATGGAAGTCTCAGTCTACTAATCATTGCCAAACTTTTCGGTAAATTTTGCTTAAATTTTGCATATTGCATCATTCAGATTGTTCAATCTCTTCTATTGGGCCTTCATTTATTAAAATCGGAAAGCCCAAGCTATTTGCTTTGCAAGCAGCCAGACTGTGCATTGGGGCCCATACTGTGTGGTTTCTCGGCTGTTTGTACTCCTGAAGTGTCAAGCTTTTTTTCGTGAACTTTTGGACTAAGACGAATGATAAATTGTGCGCCTCGTATGAAGAGACTTGTAATTTGCCTGAAGATTACCAGTATACTACGACAAGTTCCTTGTGTTCATTCCTCCTCTCTCCAACGCAAGGGAATTTAGAACCGGACCAATGAGCGACTCTTTAGCCCTTGTGTTTGGGATCAGTACGAAAGTCTACACCAAGTCGGCACACCACCCGTTAATATTTCAACCTCGCGGCGGTGTTTCCGGTTACACTTGTAATCGTTTTCTCGATTCTAATAGTTTATAATCTTTTTCATTCTGCAAGCTTGTATTCATATTCTATTCCGCAAGCACAATCAGATTTTAGTGTTAGCAAGCTCATAATAATAATTTCGATTCTGCAAGGTTATAATCACGTGTCAATTCCGTTAACTTAAAAGCATTGTAGCGGGAGAGCGGGCAACATATAACATAATATAGTGAAGTCGGCGCTGAAGAATAGGCCTGATGCGGCCTGTCGCCGATTCTTGTACTTTTCGAGAATAGTCCACAGGAGATCTGAAAACATGTCTTTCGACCGAATCTTTTCCAAACGGACGATAGTTTGAAAGAGCTGAAATAGCTGAATGCGTTTATACTCGGAGCGTCAATGATGTAATCGGGGAGGCGGTTCCACATGTCGGTGATTCGAAGCGAGAAGAAATTTTGTCGCGTGGATGAATTGCAACGCAGTTTTCAGCGCATTTTCTCATTTATGAAAAAAATGCACTATTGTGCTCGCCATGTCCGTCTGTCCGTCCGTCTGTCCGTTTTCGTCGACGAGAAAATGCCCTCTCTGTCACTCACCGCAGTGAGTACTGAGTTATTTTTTTTTAGTTTATAGCCGTGGCCCCTGGTGTTGGTTCTTGTTTCAAATTCTAATAATCTTTCTGGGACCTTGCATAATCCATGAATATACTTATATACTTTAATGAGGTCACCACGCAGACGTCGATCATGGAGGCTTGGAAGCTTCATAATCTTTAAACTAGCTTTCTTCATAGGACTTGCCCTTCAGGCCTTGAATTAAACTTGTTGCAAGTCTTTGAACACTCATCATTAATTTTTGTCCTTTTCAAGTCTCGGTGACCACAGGGCGTTTCCAAACTCTAGGTTCGGGCGCACGACAGCAACAGACAACTGCTTCATCGCTTTTGCCTCTAGGAACTCGTATGAGCGTCTGATCTGTCCAAGAAGTTTTTTCCAGCGTCTGATCTGTGCAAGAAAATTTTTCCGACATGCTTAGAAAATTTCACCACGTTGTCGATTTAAACTCGAAAATCTTTTCCACACTAGACTTTGCAATCATTACTCTCTCGTTGCAACCATGTCTTCTCATACTGTAATCTTGCTGCTCATTGTTCTTCCCGAGGTGAAGTACTTTACACTTATCAGAATTAAAACACAGCTGCCACGTATCAGTTCAGTTAACACAACATAACATAGTGATGTCGGCGCTGAAGTGTAGGCCTGATGTGGCCTGTCGCCGATTCTTTTCCTGTTCGTGCCTTGTTCACAGAAGATCTAAATCGTGTCATTTGACCGGATCTTTTCATGACTGACGATAGTTTGAAATATAGCCACTATACTTCCACCGGGTTCGATATGGCGCTAGGCATTTAAAATCTGAACATATATTTTTCCATAGTTTTATCTATTCTGTTCTTGAACGCGTTCATACATGGAGCGCCAACGATGTCATCGGGGAGGCTGTTCCACATGTCGGTGATTCGAAGCTAGAAGAAATGTTGTCGCTTGGAGAAGTTGCAGCGCAGTATTTTAGTTTATAGCCGTGACCCCTGGTGTTGGTTCTTGTTTCAAATTCTAGTAACCCTTCGGGGACCTTGTATAAACCATGAGTATTCTTGTACACTTCAATGAGGTGCCCACGCAAACGTCGATAACTGAGGCTTGGAAGCTTCATAATCTTCAATATTTTTTCATAGGACTTGCTCTTCAAGCCTGGAATTATCCTTGTTGCACGTCTTTGAACATTCTCTATTAGATTGTTTGTCTTTTCCAAATCTCGGTGACCACACAACGTTTCCAAACTCTAGGTTCGGACGCACGACAGCAACTAACAACTGCTTTATCGCTTCTGCATCTAGGAACTCGAATGAGCGTCTGATTAGTCCAAAAAGTTTGTTAGATGTGGTAACTTGCGCTTCAACATGCTTAGAAATGTTTAGCTCCCTGTCAACATAAACTCCGAGATCTTTTTCCACACTGGAATTTTCAATCATTACTCTTTCCCTGCAACCATGTATTCTCATACTGTAATCTTGCTGTTCATTGTTATTCCCGAGGTGAAGTACTTTACATTTGTCAGCCTTAAACCGCAGCTGCCGCGTCTCAACCCAGTTAACTTATCTGTTAAGATCATCTTGCAATTGCGCTTTATTTGACGCATCCTTCACTGTTTTATAAACTTTTGTGTCGTCAGCATACATGGAGCACACGCTGGACACTGCTTCTGGCAGATCGTTTATAAAAGCAACGAACATAATAGGCCCAAGAACGCTTCCTTGTGGCACGCCACTGCGCACTGATGCCCAGTCTGACACGGTTCCCTTAATACTGACACGTTATCGTCTACCTACTAGAAAATCTCTGATCCATTGTAGTAAGTTTCCATCAATTCCCAAAGACTTCACTTTATGCAACAGCCGCTCATGCAGAACACAGTCAAATGCTTTGGCAAAATCGAGGTACAATGCATCCACTGGCTCCTTTTTGTCCAGCAGGCGAGTCCAATCGTTCAACGTAGATAATAAGTTAGTGGTGCAGG